GAGTTGGCGGGACTGTAGGAAGGCTGGAGCTGAGGCATTTTAATAGGACTGATTCCTATGGCCTCTCTAGCAACAGATGCTATCCTAGCAGTGATAGTTAACGTTCACAGAGCGCGAACCACCGTCCCAAGGCTGAGCTAAGCACTTTGCACCCGTACTTCCAGCTGTCTTGGGAGGTGGCCTAAGAATTGAGACCCATTTTTCTCATGAGGAAACTGAGGCTGAGAGAAGTGAAGTAATTTTCCCAGGAGCACACAGTCTAACTTACTGGGAATATAGCAGGTTGCAGTCTGGCGGTCACCTGGCAGAGCCCACGCACCTGACCCTGAGCAGCGGGTAGAGCTGCTGACAGGCAGAACTAAGAACAGAAGGGTTCTCTCTGTGCAGATGTCTGGAAACCTCTAACTCAAACAGCTCCTCCTTTAATACAGGCCCAATGAGGGTAAGGAGCCGATTCACTTGTATTGAAGAAATTAGGGTTTTCTCCCAGGGAGGACGCTGTTTGGATGGGTCTAGGGCCTCAGGTCCCTGGGCTGGGAGGGCACAGGCAAGCCATCCCACACTCCAGGGTTTACTGGAGCCTGTGCCACAGGGCCAGGGGCCCAGTACCGTGCCTGCTGCTGCTGGATAGCTCTGGGCAGTGTTGCCTTGGGGATCTGCTGTTGTCTTCTAAGGCAGAAGGATAGCACTGGGACCAGAGATGCTTTCTGGGAGTCTGCAGGTTGAAAGCTGCTTTGCCTGGGAGATGTTATTTGCGCTCTCACTGATTTTTCTCCTGAGCATCCAGAGGCTGTGAGACCTGACAAGGATGTCATTTTATAGCTAACAGCCAAGCGCACCCAAGGGGACAAAGGAAGAGGAAAATGGCCGATTGTCTGAGCGAGAACAGAGCAGAGACAGGAGAAACACATGCATCAGTTGGTCTCAGCCTCACTTCTCCCTCTCACTGTGGAGTTGGGACACCGCACAGCCGCTGCGGGTGGGAGTTTTCGTAGGGATTTTCCAGAATGTGCAGTGACACAGGCCAGCTCTCCTCAGCAAGCCCAGGGAGGGAGCTTGGTGAAATGACCAGAAAGGAAACAGCCTGAATCTGCAGCCCATGATGGGAATATTACTGAGAAACCCAGGCATTGTTTATCACTACCTACTTGAGGCCCACCAGCCAGGGAGTGGGAGGACTGAGGACAAGGCCTGAAGATGTTGGCTTAGAGGTGGACCATGTTAGAGGCAGAGATGATCTGGATTTCTGTATTTGAAAATATTAATCAGGATTCAACTCAGGAAACAGAAACCCCTCTAGGTATTTTAAGCAGGAAGGGATTTAATGCAGGCAAGTAGGGACTAACAGAATCATGGGAAGAGCTCAAGGAACAGATGCTAAGCTGAGCCTCAAGGAATTGCTCCAAGGACAGCAGAGCTCATCCATGGGGGGCCAGGACTGCTCCCTGAAACCATGAGTTCAAACATGCACCTGTGAGCTGTGATTCAAGGTTGGTGGTGGAATCAAGGCATCTTTGCTGTTGCTTTCACCACTCCTACCCCTGTCTCGGGATGCACCAAGAGGATAGAAACTAGACACTACAATGTTCCGTAGGAAACTAACCAAAAATACTTCATGCTTTTGTGACCTTTTTACAACAACAAAATAGACACAAAAGTGGCCTCAGCCTCATGTCTACTTCCCAGATCTCTTAGAGCAGCCTCTTTAATGGTGAAACCTAATTTGTATCTGGAACCCTAGCTGCAAAGGAGTCCAGAAAGTATAGATTTCAACTGTCCAGGCTCTGAGCAAGATAATAGGACGAAGCCAATGAGCCAATCCCTGGTGTACACCACTGAGGGCACCAGTCCTGCATTTTCTCACACACGAAATACTAAGACACATGAAACAGGAGAGTGAATCCAGACACCATCTGGTTGGGCTTCATGGTTCCCCAATTCCCTCTTGGATTTCCCCTAGTGCAGCTGGGAGATGCCTGCTTAGAAGTCTAGTAGCCGCACTTGGCACTTTGCCTTGGCTGTTGGCCACTGTGAGGAAGAATGGCTGGCAGATCATGAATTATCGTTTTATTTACACATCCACCTCTAACAGTGATGGTTTAACTGAAACCTTTTCCTTATTTTAGAAGAATTGATATATAGAAGTCTCTCTCTGAGTTTGCCTTCCTGTCTCATAATACAATTCTAAATTACTTGTTGGGGGGTTTAAATGCGCATTTTTAACCAAGGGAGAGCTTGTAAACAGAGAAATAGTTCATGACTGGATTGTTTTACCTTCCTAGATTACACAAGTTCCCCCCATCAAGCCTTGGCTTCCCACTCTCATGAGTCAACACTGTGCCCTTGAAAATTGAATATTATTTTTCTGGGCAGAAACATGACCTGGTCCATAGCTGAAAACTTGGGTGTGTTATACTTAATTACTAATACTCATCCATACTTTCAGTTATTCAGCAAACATTTATTGAAGATGTCTTGTGAGAGACCTCAGGTTAAGCATATTTTGGAGAAAGCAGAGACAAGGCATCATTCCTAACCTTAGAAGGAATAGGCTTATTAGGGAGGTGGGACACATTCATTGCTGGAAGAATCATAGGGGGTTACAGTGGGTCTCAGAGCAGAAAGAGATTTTTGGCTTCCAGAAAGAGGTGCCACTGGCACTGAGCCCTGAAGGTTAAATAGAATCTAGACAGGCAGAGGGGAAGAGTTGATCTTCCTCGTGAGGGGACAGCAGTGGGCAAGGAGAGCTGGAAAGCCTCAAGCACTGTGGTCCGTGTGCTGGTGACAGGTGTTGGCCTGGCTGGCGATAGTGGGGTGAGGACCAGTGAGGTTTCCCCAGCCTGTCACCTCCCCTCACACTCACTTTAGTGACTTGTACATTTCCTGCAGGGACAGGACCAGTATATCGGAATAACTTCCCAAAGGAGTCACCTTCCATATCACATCTGATTATTCTGGGGCTTGTAGTTGTTCAGCAAAAGAATCCTTCATCCTCAAAAAGAGAAACTATTAAAACTGTGAGGATGACCTAAGGCCTGAGGGCCTGAGATAAGTGACTGGGCCAGTTTCTGGCCATCACCTGGAGCTGGCTCAGAGTAGCTGAGGAGAGAGTGCCCGACTTTTCCCTGGTTAGAGAACTTAGCTGCGTGCCAAGGGGAAAGGTGGCAGACAGTGCAGGCCCAGTGCTCAAAGGCCCAGGGTAGCAGAGGAAGTGGAACATGTATAGGACAGGCTTCCTGCCTTGGCCTAGTGCCCACTGGCTGGCTTAGTTTAAAAGAAAGGACGGACGGATAAGGGATCAGGAGGGATAGGAGCACAGGAAGGAGCCAGGAGGCCGACATGGGCTGTCATCAGAGACACCAGCAGTAAGGGGTGGTGTCTTCTCCCTGAGACCCAGTGGGGGCAGAGCAGGCTGGGTGTCCACTGTCATGAAGCCAAAGTTTGGCTGTTGGGGCCATGAAATCTATTGGCCTGTGAATCACTCTGGTGGGGCTTTCACCATGGGGGACTTGCCAAGTTGGCAGAGGACAAGAAAAGTGAGTGAACCCCACCTCTGGCTGAGTCCCAGAGGGGGCAGGGAAAGGGGTGGGGGTGAGGGTG